ATGTTTTAAATAAGCTGAAAAATTGAATCATCCTTGATAATGGCTAAAGGTATAGCTGAAAGCACTTGGAACTATAAAACATTTGGACAGTTTTTACACACTCTTTGTCCAGAAAAGAAAGCTCTTGTTCGAACACGAGAAAAAAATTAAATAAAAAGCTTAACTGTAGTACCTTGTCTGTCATTTTTAATGAAACATATATATATATATATATATATATATATATATATATATATAGTTTAAGATATGCTACATTTATGGGTAAAAAGTATTCAGTATTAGAGATAGAGATGTAAATATGAAATATAAAAGTTCACTGAGGGTAACATCAACTGGCAATAGTCTGTTTCATGCAATCTTCAGGCCATGGCTTGAAGTTAAATCTTCAAAAATTTAAATGCGACAGTAATCACTTTGTGTTGACCTCACTTTTATATATACATATATATATATATATATATATATATATATATATATATTTAATATAGAAAGCACAAATTATGGGGTGTGTTCACCTGAACGCCCAAAAAATGAATTAAATATATAAAGTTGGTTGTCCATCCGTGTGTGTGAAAATATGTAAACTATAACATCAAATTAATGTAGTTTTATAATTTATATCTGCAAGCAGGTGTCTTATATCTTGCCCATCTTAGTGCTTCTTAATGGAAATAAGCCTTTCATATATTAAGTCTTAAAATATCAAATAATAGTGTTTTGTTATTCATTTCCAATCTGGTTTTGTAGTCTTTATAATTAAGTAATTGCTTTTCTAAAATATTTCATAATTAAATTTCCAAGTTATTCAAATAAAGCCATTTTCTGCTGTCAAAGTGGTAACCATGTCAGCATTTAAATCAGAGTTTGAGAGTAAAGGGAATTTACCAATTTATAAAAAGAAATAAGTAATTGTAAGATTTTTTTATAATACATTTTAAAAATCCAACAATTTAAATTTTAATATAACATATTATAGATTAAATAAAGATCAACCAAAACATTTAAAACTGTTAAACTGCTTTATGACAATTTCTCTCTTACTCTTACTTTCTCTCTTACAAAATTCTTAAATAAAAAACAACTTCAAAATATAGCAGCGAAGAGGAAAGACACTTGATTGTCAGCTATGATGAATGGGCTGGGCTGAGCTATTGAGCATTGTGAGTGAAGTAATTCACAACACAGCCTTCTGTGAATTAAAAAGAAATAATGATTGCGTCATGTGATTCAAGTGTTGTTTGGTAACATGCCATTCACTTAGATAAAGCTTGGAAAACTTTTATATAAGTGCATGCTTATCTGAACTTTTCTTTGATTGACAGCTTAAATATATATATATATATATATATATATATATACTGTTAGAAGATGTAAGTAATTACTACAAAATTGTACATTTTGTTTCAATGTTTAAATAAAATGTCTCATCAGGTAATTAACAATGATGGTATAAACGATCTTATTCAAAATTTCAATTTATGAAACAATACTTCATTTTCTGTTTCTGGAAAATTTTCCATATAAGGTAAAAAGGACTTTTATAAAAAAAAAAGGGGGGGGTGAATAAGAAATCAACATTGAATGTTGTAAGTTTATTCTTCGTTCTTTTACATTTGGGTATATATATAGTCCTACTCCTACCAATACCATCCACCTTTCGGTGTTCTATGTTTGTTTTGGAGTTCGGCATACTACTGCTTTTTCAACCTGCCTGAGGAGATCTAGTGATTGAAACCTGGTTAGCGTGTTTGTGAGAGATTTTTTTCCAAAGGTATCTTGCTCTGCATGTTATATCTTTTATAGCTTGCATCAAGCACTTTTTTCTAGGCAGCCCTCCTTTTTGTTTTTTACTTTCTGGCCTCCAATTATCATACAATATTTTATATTTTAAATAATTATATATATGACAAAAAGAAAACCTTTTTTACCAATTTTCTGATGGATTTTATCAAGGTAAATGTAAGGACTTTATTTTAAAACAGAAGTAAAAATATGATTAGGCTTAAACAGAAGTAAAAATATGATTAGGCTTTCAAAATTTAAGAACATGCAAAAAATATTCTTAAGGCTACGTGAACCTACAGGGAAACTATGGATGAGGCTAAGTGATCTCATGCTTAATAAACAAAAGTGAGTAAATGTTGTTATTGTTGTTGCTGATTTTTTTTTAAATTATTTGTTTAAAGATATTTATTTACTTTTTTTATATTAATGTAATTATTGTTTTATTTTGAATGTTATTAAATTTTGAAAGCCTAACAATATTTTTACTTCTGTTTATAAATATATGTTGTAAAATAAATCCTTCAGTGGATGAAACACATTGGTAAAGTCAACAGAAAAAACAAGGACCCTGATCTCCTGTATATGTGCTTCCACATGGCACTTATCTATAGTACCACATTCGTCTTTGCTCTCTGTCACCCTCAGTATGAAGGGTTGGTTATCTTTGATCAATTACCTGAGGGGATTGACAATATCCTCACCAAATTTCCCTCAGTCATCTTTCCCATATGCAGTGACTTCAATGTTCACCACAGAATGGTTAGTCCACTTGAACAAGACTGATGAGGGACACAAATATTGCAGAGACTTCTCTATCATCTATGAACTAACCCAGATCATTGAAGAACCTACCTGATTCACAGACACGATGAGACAGCAGGTGAACCTCCTCAAACTTTTTCTAACATCCTGCCCTGACGAATGCTTAGCAAATGTTTTAACCCCCATAGGTACATCAGACCATTTCCTATGACATCCCTTGATTTGACATTCCATAGAACATTTTTTTTGCTATGTGAAAGCAGACTGGGACAGCTTTTCATCCAATATGATGGGAGCTCCTCTATGAACCTTCTTCAAACATGCTGCTCCAATCTTCAAATGGATCCTTTCTGGAATGGAGTCCTTTATATCCCCACAAAAATTCCAGCAAAACCCAAACAGTCAGCCCTGGTTCACCCTTGAATGCACTGAAGCCATAGCTCACCAGAACCACTACTTCAATATTTATTGTAAGGAATGGTGTAGTATGGACCATACTTCTTTCAGAATTGCCCACCATTTCTGTAAGCGAGTTCTGGAAAATGCCAAATGCAGCTACACACAAGCTACCCAGGCCAAGGTTGAAAAACAAATTGGATCTCACAAATCCTGGAAGAAGATCAACTAAATTATGAACAGAGGTAAAGTGGTTGTGCCCACTATTATAAATGGACATGAGGTATGTCCTCCTCAACAGACAAAGTGAAACACCTCACCTTGATCTTTGCATCACACTCAACGCTAGATGATAAAGGCCAACTTTCCACATCTGACAGAGCACAATCTCAGTAATATACTCATTTTAGTAAGAGAAATCTCTAGACTTATCAAAAGTCTAAATTTGAAAAAAGCCATTAAACCAAGCAAAATTCTAGTGGTCCTCCTTAAAAATATCAACCAAGAATTATTCCTGATCCTAGCAAAGTTATTTAACCGCTTCTTGAAAGAGAAATCTTTCCCAAATCTGTGGAAGGAGGCAAGTGTATGCTCGGTTTTCAAGAACATGGGCAAGCAATCCTCTCACTTCTAGTATAGAGCAATTAGTCTCCTCAGTATCATCAATAAGCTTTTGAAGGCTTTAATCAACAAGGAGGTTGTCGAACATCTAGATAGGAACAATCTCTTGTATGATGAGCAGTATGTGTTTCGATCAGCCTGATCCATTGCTGAGCTACTAACATTACTCACAGACTTATTGAAGCACTTGACAACAAACAGACCTTGAGGACCATAGCATTAGATATCATAAAGGCCTTTAACACAAGCTCTCCAGTTATGGAATCACTAGAAGTACTTTCTCAATTATAAAATCTTTCCTAACAGGTAGATACCTGAAGGTAGTTGTTAACAGCCAGTTCCCTGAGACCCTGGCAGTCAATGACCCAGAGATCACTTCTTGGACTAACCCTCTTTCTGATTTATATAAATGATCTGCCAAAGAATATATTCCGATCATTTGTAAACATCTATGCCGATGATATGACGATATACAGGCGCACCTCTATAAGTCCTGATGATTTGAGATTGGCAGCTAACCTCTTTTCCAATCTAACACTGACTTCCTAGTTGGGAAAAAACTGGCTTATTACATTCAATGCCTTGAAAACCACTGATCAGACCCGAGACTACCAACAGTCACAATGAACAGATGTTCCCTCGTGGAGGCTTCGTGCTTTGGGACTCAAACTCACACCTGCCCTAAAGTAGAACTCTTATATACGATCCATCACCAAAAGATGCAGGTAAAATGATTGGCTCCCTTTACTGATCTAGTAACTACCCGGCTCCTTATGCTATCCTCTATCTTTATAAGATTCAAATCAAGCTGAAAATGGAGTACTGTTGATATATTTGGGCAGGAGCTGCCCAGACTTAACTTTTCAGTCTTGATAGAGTTCAAAAGTGTCTCCGAGTCCTTGTTGGAGAAGAATTATTTTCCATCTTCTAACCTCTCTCTCACAGGTTGTATATGGTAAATCTCTTACTGCTCTATCACTACTACCATGGAAAGTCCTCGGACTAACTACATTCCTTGGTTCTGCCAGTTCTAACCTTCATGGCTAGGACCTGCCATCCCACTTACATAGTAATAAATAACCCACATTCCCTCTGTATTTCATTGATGAGAATTAAGTTCTACTCAAACAGTTTCTTTTCAGGAACCATTGTCCTGTGGAACAGACTCCCAAGAGGATGTTTCCGTGACCACTAAAATCTTAACCTGTTCAAGTCTAGTATTAATCATTTTCCTCCCTTCCTATCCATATAAACTGCCACCTAATGTAACCCTCTACCTCAAGTGGCCCCTGGGCCTTGTACAGAGTGAACCTTACTGCATAAAAAAAAGAAAAGAAAAATTTCCTTTAGTCTTTATTCATATTGTCTTTCTACCAAAATATTTTATCTGAATTTTTACACACACAGAGACCAATTTTATTTGAAACATATTGAAAGATCAGTTCTCATATGATCATTGAAGTTAAGCTATCTTCAGCCTAGTCAGCACCTTGATGGGTGACCACTTGGGAATACCAAGTGCTGTAAGCTTGGATGTGCAGGTGGTGTAATGCGTAATGGCTTGAAATTGAAACTCTGAGAGCCTATTTCCAATTCCAATCAGTTTCATTATATTCACTTATGTGCAAACACCCTTGAGAAATGTATGAATCTACCTCTTCTTCCTCCAGCTATGGCTAAATTAGTACAACTTGTATCAGGAAATCATTATTATCTCCATAAATTGTTACTATGTAAAAATATTCTTTCACTTTAAATAACCAGTAAAAGGTTAATAAGCAGTTCAAACGAATCAATCTAGTTATACATTAAACACACATTTTTATTTATATATATATATATATATATATATATATGACTGCCATAAACAGACAACAGTTAGTTTTATTATTACCACTCAATTAGTTGGAGGACTAATACAAAGTCCTTCTGTTTACAAAGAAAAGGCTTTAAAGATAAATTATAGATGGCCTCCAACACTTTCAGGTGGTAATTTAATTTGAGTGGGACTTGCTAAGGATGGTAAAAGCGTCCGCACTAAAACTAACAGCACAATTATGGCTATTTATAAGGTGTTCTGCATTAGAAGACCCGTATGTATTGGTCAAAACTTTCGAGGGAGTGTACTTAAGGTTTCGGATTTTTGCTAGAACATGTTGTTTTATTCTAACATCCAGCCTTTGCGTCGTTCTCCCTATGTAGTGCGAACCGCAACTACATTTAAAAGAATAAATTAACAAACTATTATGATGTGGTGGGAGAACATCCTTACGCATAGATGGAAGGACAGGCCTGGCAGAGAAAACAACACGATTATTAGCGGCAAAGTAACAATGTCGATCTGTGGTAGAAACCTGCTTAGCAAACCTATCACTGATACTACCTAGCCAAGGAAGATGTAAGTACACAGGACAGTTTTTACTATAGTAGGTTTGACTTTGTTAAATTCAGCAATTTTATTCTTAATAATTGCAGAGAGTAGAAGTAATAAACCTGAGTTGATCATCCAACTTGATGCCAGAACAGATCGTAAGAACGCTATGGATAAGGGTCTTAATTAAATTAACTTTGTGCTTCCTGGGACAAAAAGAATTTCAATGGGTATACAAACCAGTAAATGTCGGTTTACAGTAAACAGAAGTAATAAAACCCAACGCAGATCTGCTGACGAGTACATCGAGAAAGGGAAGAGATGAATCAACCTCCTTTTCCAGGTGTAAATTTCAAGACCAGATGCATATTGTTAGGGAACACAAGAAATTGGTCCGCTTTAATCTCGTTATCGAAGAGACAAAAAGTGTCATTGACGTCACGGACATAAAAGTCAGGTTTATCAGATTTTAGTAGTACACTCTTTCTTGGAACCCAACAAGGTATTTGCTAAGATGGGCCCCCAATACACTTTGTCCATTGTTCTTTTTTTTTTATATAATTTACTTTATTTACCTTGATTTAGCTCTGTTGAGTGAGGTACAAAACCGGTTAGCTAGCTCATTTTTCATTTTTACTTTTTAATATCATGAGTGGTAATAATGAAACTAATTTTTGACTGTTTATGGCAGTGATAAAATTTTGTACCACTAAACATATCTTTAAATATATATATATATATATATATATATATATATATATGGTACACACTTTACAAGCTACAGCTACTGGCCACCTGACGATTGTGTGATAACGCATGAAACTGGCAGTCATGGCCAGTTATTGCTTACCTGGATTTTGATATATATATATATATATATATATGGTTAATAAGGCCTCAGAAAGTGGTGGAATCAGTAGATACTACCAATTAAAGTGTGCCCAAAACTTTTCCATATAGAAATCAACAACCTATTTCAAAAATGCAATTAAAATTTTATCACTTTTTAGCAATTAGAACATGTTTCCTGTTCAGTACTTTCACCCACAAATTTAGGTGTGGGAAAAGTCCAGATAAATAAAGTAGTTATCGAGTGACTCAGATTTTGATGGCCTAAGGACTTTTAAATAATCTTTTTATATTTTCCAAATACTAACACTATTATTAAAACACATCTATATCTTGTTTATAGTTTACTCCTTGGAAATATATATTTTGTAAATTAGTTTTCATTTAATAAAAGTTTTCAGCACAGAAGTTTTACTGACTTGAACAAAGAAGAGAAGATTAGTTTGGGAACCAGTTCAGTAACAAAAATACCATGCGGTAGATAGTTACATTACACCTATCTCACTCGTAAAGTAACTTGTTATAAATTTCAAATTCTAAACCCAAATATAAACAATAACATAACTAAAAAAAGAAAAATCTTATATACTATGATGACTTATTCCGTAGAGACAGTCATCATTGTATATTCTTAGAATAAAAACATTTTTCTTTTAATACTTTTTCTTCTCAACAAAAGATAAATTCAGTTAGCAACATAACAGAAGTATAGGAATAGTTAAAGATGCCTTTCAGAAACTAAGGAAAATATTAAGGGATATTAATGGGAAAAGAGGGCTTGGAAAATCTGATACTCACATGGACAATAGAGGGAAAGATGGACAAGGGAAAGCAATGTGTGACATACTTAATGGGCTTAAGTAAATGAAAGGCGGAACAGGGTCTGGGAGAAATAACAAAAAGATAAAACTTATTGAGAGCTACAAGGAACGGTAAAAAATGGAGAGCCATGATCGTCTATGTCATAAAAGAAGAAGAAGAAGAAGAGAAAACTTTCTTTAGAAATGAAAAATTTGAGATGACAATTCATTGGTATCAAGTAATGGACTTACTGATCCTACCTCAGTGATTGCTCACAAGCAAAATAGAGATTAATAGATTGGTATTTTTTTCTATTTAGTGCATCTTGAATTTCATTGAATGTTTTTGCTTGGGCATAAATATATGTAAACAATTTTAACATTTTTATCATTAGTGTTTTTTCACTGATTTGTTTAGGTTATGTAGTTTGAATGAAAGAGGGAGAAGAAGCAGTGACAGGTGATATCTTTTATAGAGAGACATTATGTTAAACCAGGTAAAATATGAGTTATGGAAAAGAAGAAAGAAACTAAAATTGAACTGAAAATAGGAGTCAGTGATTTTATTAATTTTGGTGAACTTGATGGAGCAATGTCCTAGTCAATCTGGTCATTTCCAGTTTGATACCAGCTTTGTAGTTCTCAGCTCGCCTCCAATGCTTGGTCACCGAAGTAACTGCTTTGATCTCAAGTCTAACCTACCCACGTTGTGACTTTGATCTTAGGTAGACAAAATCAATCAGGTGTCGGGCCGTAGTGCAAGCTGAATCCGGGGTAAAGGTGATACCGCACAAGCGTAAGTAAAAGAAAAATAATAAAACAAACTCACGAGGTTCAAATATGTTGAGAAATAACAATTATCTTTATCTGTTGAATACAGGAATGTGTTTCTCTCCTGGCCTGTTTCTATGGATTTGTGACACATTTTGCGTTTCTTAAGTGAGTTATGGTATCTTAAGTCATTCGTCAATAAAAACTTGCTTTTGGTAGGAAGACTAAGTCGAAAGGCGTGGAAATTTTGGTCAGCTCCTGTGAGGTCCTATTCTCCGAGCCCAACAGCTCTTTGTTGATCTGTGTCTGCGTCTCCGATCTCCAACCCAACTCTGCCGAAAAAAACTGACTAGCTGCCTGTTTGTTTATATGGACACCGATTGGGGCCTGTCGTGGTTTGGGTTCTTTGACAATTCTTAATTCCCAACAAAAATTCTCTTTGTCTTCAAGACAGGAAAATTTGTTACTTCCCATTTTTGGAAGCCAACCACTTTCCATTTCAGGGATTTTCTCCCTCGTCCATGGGGAGAGGTCGGAGGAGAATTATCTTCCTAGACTCTTCCTTTCTCATCTCATACCAATCCTCTTAGTGGTTGTCAACTACTTTGCCGCCTTTCTCTTACATTCACCTTCATCTATCACTCACGCCACCACTTGGCCAATGATTGCTCAGCAGCATGGGTGTGGTTAGACTTGGCCTTTTTAAAATTATCGTCCAGAAGAAAAATTCTCTTTTCTTTTCTTTCCTTCTTTTCTATTGGCCAGAATTCTTATGAATCCCATGTGGCCATAATTAAATTTTTATCTTATCCTGAGCCACCCCAAATCCACTTAGCAGAATCTCTACCAACTCATTAATCACTTGCTAGTCAACTTTTAAACTGGGTGGTCGTGTTCCACCTGAAAATCAAATCCTTTCCTCGTGTCTTAAAATTTTCGTATGACCAGATGCCCACCTTTGGTGACATTAATTCTGTCGTCAACAGTTTGAATAAACAATAACAATGATCATATCAAGATCTGTATACATAACGGCTGGCTTTCTTTGTCGGAATCCAAGAATAAAAAATATTAATGGTATCTCTGATAGATAACCAATATTGGTTTCTTCTGCCTGTATGCAGTTGACTGAAGCCGAAATATTTTTATGGTCACTGTCTGTGGTCAGCTTTGTCATTCCTCCCTGAATTCTGTTTCCCTTGGCGCGTCATTATCTGATCATGACATTAATTAATTCTGACAGAATCTGAAATCTGGCTTTCTCTTACAGATTTTCTGTCTTCTGCAAAAAAGTATCTTTCTTCATAAATGAAATAAAATCTTTTCCCATTCTTTTTTTTGTTAAAAAAAAAATGTCACTCGGTCTGTCTTTCGATATAGCTCTTTCTCGCCTTAAGTATTTCTTGTTTTTAATTTCTATGCCTAATTAGTTAGCCAATTACCATAGCTAAATAGTGTCACATAGCAACGAATGGATGTAAAATGAAATTATGTAGTAAAAAAGACTTTTGAAAATGTAGTAAAAGATTGTGAATGAAAAATCTCTACCAAGATTCAGTTAAATTGATTGGCTGTTTTTGTTTTATGCAGATACAGCATCAATGCATATAGTGGAATTGAACTCCCTTTTTACTCTCTATGTTCATCATAAGTAACTTGTTCATTGTTTATGAGACTTACCTTGTTCATTGTTTATGAGACTTACCTTGTTCATTGTTTATGAGACTTACCTTGTTCATTGTTTATGAGACTTACCTTGTTCATATGTGCTAGAGATAAAGTGGCATAATTTCCTGAAAAATCCTTTTTTTTAATCATTTCACCCCAAGCAAAGTGATAATTCCACTAGAATACAATGAAAGAGTGAGAAGATTTTAGTGAGGAGAAATGAAGAGAAAGGACAATAAAGGAACAGGGTTCAGGAAGAGAGAAATTGGTGATTGGCATTGCATTTACATTTTTGAAGATTTTAGGTGGCAGGAATTATGAATGATAAGAGTTTATTGTTTATTCATGTCATAGTGCAAAAGTTATAATAGAAAAGCTAATAATATTTTCTTGATGAAAAACTATTATGAAAAAAGTAATCTTAAATTTATGATATGAGAGAAGTACAATTAATATCAACTTAAGATTTTAGATAAGAAATGATAAAATGTTTCACATTTTCTTGTTTTATGATCAGGCTTACAGCCATATCATGTTGAAACACCGGTTTTCATATGATCACCAAAGTTAAGCAATGTTGAGCCTAGTCAGTACCTAGATGGGTGAAAGTTTGGAAATACCAAGTGCTGTAAGCTTGGATGTAGGGGTGGTATAATGGATAATGGCTTGGGATTGGAAATCAGAGAGCCGAGTTCCAATTCCATTTGGGGTCGTTATATTCACGAATACCCTTGGGAAAGGTGTGAATCCATCTCTTCTCCTTCCAGCTATGTATTAATTAGTAAGACTTGTATCATTAAATCATTGTCTTCCAAAATTTCTTTTTACAATTTAAGAACATTTTATGGCTTTAAATAACCTGTAAAAGGTTGATAAGCTGTAGAAAACAAATCAATCAAAATCAGTTGTTTTATGATCAACTTATGATCAACCATTATAAAAATGTCTGTTATATTTTCTTATGAGAAAGAAAACCAATCTTAGAATGATGACATCAAAGAAATGAAAATATAAATTAAGAACAGATTAACTCATATACTTCTAGCTTCAATATAAACTGATGTCTTCTTTTCTCATTATTTTGTTACCAATTTTCCAAAATATTTCAGCAGTATTTTCACTTTGCAAAATTATTGTTTACAATTAGTCTTGATATATACAAAAAGGTATCAGTTTAAACTGATGCCAAGTGAATATAGATTCTTCTATGTACAGTGTCCATTTGGGAAATGAGTGATCATGGCTCTCTACAACTTCCTATCTTTTGTATGTCTTAGTAAGATTTTTTCTTGCTATCTCTCCTAATCCCTGTTCTAAAAATGATTTACACAACCTAAGTAAGTTATTCGCTGCTTTCCTCTGTCTCACTTGCCTTCAATATGTCCTGTGAATGTCAAATTCTCTAAGCACTCTTTCCTCATTACATACCCTAGAAATTTCAATTGTCTCTTTCTAATTCTTATTTTGTCTTCTTTTTGTTTCCATTTTCCTGAAAATGTCTTCGCTAGTCACATGTTCAGTCAAAGGTATTCTCAGCTTTTTTCTGTAGAATCACATTTCTGTTGCCTCAAGTTTTTTCTTCATCTGTGAGGAGAGTGTCCACCATTTAATATGATATAGGAGGCACTGATATCATATAACAGTTCAATACTCTTTTGTTTTTATTGAATTTTCCTGTTTCTTAATATTTTGCTTACCTTTTGGGAGGCATATTTTGCTATCCTAATGCACTTTCGGATTTCAGTGATGCATTTTCTGTTCTCCGTTAAGACACTTCCCAGATATGTACTTGCTTGCTTGATATTGATGTCTCTAATTTGTTTGCATTTTGGGCTGTTATTTTGTTGACAACAATACATTCTGTCTTCTTACAATCAATGCTTAATCCTTTCTTCTAAACTTACAAAGTGAACAAATTATGAAACAATCACTATTATTTTCTTGTTTAATAACCAACTATTGATTAATTACAATTTTGTTTTTTATAATTAAATAGAATCCATACTGTCTATAGTTTTTGGAAAAGACATTATTGAAAAATTTGCTTCAACAAACTCATTTTTTGTTTGGTTGCTAATGTACTATTGAAGAAGGCTGTCATATGTATTGGCTGAAATGTTGCAGTAACAACATCAGGAATCTAAAAATAAAGCAGTTCCTTCAATCCTTGAAGCTGTTAAATGAATCAGCAGAAAAATTACTGTAATGGCATCAGCAGCAGCAACACGACTGGATGAATTCAATTTTTCTGAACAGAATGAGAAAGATTCATACTTGTACAAAAATAGAATCAAACAGCCAAGATTAAGAAGTAAAAAATGTCATAAAGTTAAAAATAACTTTATTCAGAGAAAACCTGAAATTATCAAAAGACTAAGCAGAACTTGTTTTGAACATCCTTGATTATGATATATGTTTAAGTTGGCATATATTTTCTAAAGTTCAAATGTCACTGCAGCCATTGCTGACAAAAATTCTTGATTAAATCTTTAACTTTTTGTATTTGCATTTTTTTCTTTCTATTTGTTATTTATAACAAACTGAAGCTTAATTCATTCTATATCAGTAAACATAAAATCAATGCTATACTTATATAAAAAAAAAAAATCAATATATTCACTTGGCATTAATAAAATAGCAATAAAATACATTGGTTACTATAGATTTAAAATGATTAATAAATAATAGATTTTTATTGATTTATTTTTTTTTATTTCTGCTTAATCATCCTTATCAAAAGAAAATCATGAAAGTTTAATGGTATTTGTGACACACAACTAATCAGAGCTTATAATGCACTGTTACCAACACAATATTTTACCAGTGTCATCACAACTCTGGAGATAGTTTGTTCTCCTACCACTTTCAATGTTTAGCAGATATTTCACATCAGTTAATACTCACCAAACATGAATTAACAGCACTCAGACTCAGGAATTGAACTCATAACTGTTAAAGAAACTGATATGGTTTGAACAGCACATTCAACTACTAGGCCATGTCTGTCTTGGTTTGAAATTCCAAAAAGGTTGCTGAGCATGAAGACTGTGTACAATGGCCAAAATGTTGTGATTTTAACAACCAAGATGAGCATGATGATCCAAAAGAATACAATGCGAGATACATGCAGAAGGGCAGTGGATACAGTGGTTGAAATGTTGGGAGAATAACAACCAAAATGAACATGATAGGTTAAATAGCAAAGAACATAAAGTTAATTTCTTATTTAAAAGTTTTAAAAAAGATCTTACAAAAGATTATCTTTGAGCATTTTAATATTGTTTTGAGAATAATCTGATTAAAAATAATGTGATTATTTTTGGTTAAGTTAGATCGTTTTTTTTATTCAAGGAAATGTAATTTGAAAAAATTATGCATTTGACGAGTAATTGAAAGTGATAAACTTAAATTTTATCTTATATCTTAAATAATCTATTAATTCTAATTTGGTTTCTTTCATTTCCCCCATATCATCATTCTAAGATTTTTTTTATAAGAAAATATAATTGGATTTTTTTTATTAGTTGACAATTAAACAAGAAAATAGAATTAACTTTTCTCACAGGACATATTGAAAGCATAAATAAATTACCGAATGTGCTTGTATAAATTGGTGGCAGAAGATTGATTGAGAGAGATAACTAAAACACAATCCTTACTTAGAGCTAAAAAGTATAGGGAATTGTAGAGAGCCATGACAGCCTATGTATTGAAGAAACATGGCATATAGAAGAAGCCATATTCACCTGGTATCAGTTTAAACTGACAGCACAAGATGCTATAAAATTAAAAAACGTTTACCTAAGAACTCTAGCTATATTAGCCTTGTCAGTTCAATACTGTTATATGGATGTCATGCATGGCTTCCAGCTTATTCAGAAATATCTAAAGTGTCAACTATAAACAATCATTTTCCCAGATCAATGATTAAAAATGGATTCAAGCAAATGGAGATTGTAGATCTTAGAGAGGACCATCCTTCTTCAAAACTCAATGGACTGACTCTACAAAATCACAATGGAACTATGCCAAATAACAATAGCTGCATCACTTGAGGACTTTCAACAACAGCAACAGCTAAAATGGATAGCACATGTAAATAAAAGAGAAAATAATAGCATACTCAAGATGTTGATGTCCCACACTACATTAAACAAAAGGTTAGGAAGGAAACCCCCATCAGTATTGGAAAGAGCAATAACAGTTACTGAAATTAAGAAACCTATCATACTGAAAAATTATTTTAATAGAAGGATTTTATAAATTTCAATGGAAAGTAGCAATAGCTCTTTAGTCAATGAATGCTGAATGTTTCCATTTACAGAAATGACTAATATTAATGGGTCAAATTAGTCACTTTTGTTATTAATATGAATTATAGATTATTTTTTTTCATATTGAATGGTCAGTTCCTTGTATTACTCCAGAAAATACATAACTCCTGTTACTCTCAGTGATTCTCAACTACTGTGTGGTGGCACACTGGTGTACTGAAAAATACTGTCATATATATATATATATATATATATATATATATATATATATATATATGTGTGTGTGGAAGCAGTAATGGTACAGCATTACTTATTTGAATAAATGAATAAGTATTAATTTTTTTTTCAAATAATTCTTTTCACTATGTTCCTTCAAATATTGGACTTCAGTTATATGAAGGAGAATTGGCCACCATTTCTAGTGATTGAGGGCTCAAAATAAAGCATTCTATGGTACCTATTGGTACATTTTAGATTTCAATACAAAAGGAATATTCCACATTAACTAAAAAGAATTTATCAGTTTTACTGCAATTTTCTACTTCTTATTTATGTGAATTAGGCTTCTCAAGCCTAGATAACATCAAAAAGAAGGGAGAAAGACTATGTTCAACAATTATTGTACAGTCAACCAAACATTGAAGAAATCGTGAAAAAAACACCAGGTACAGGTTTCATACTAAATAAGCTGCACAAATAGTTGAATAGAAACATTGAAATAAAGTAAGTTCATATTTGTCTGTGTATTTTTTAAAAATCTATGGTTTTATTTCATAAAATTTAAATGTATACCCTTTAAAAATTTTGCTTAGTGTGCTGTGATATTTTCATTTGCTCCTAGGTGTGCCATTGCTTAAAAAGGTTGAGAAACACGAGTCTATCTTTACAAGAGTCAGATCAGACCAAGAAGGGAGTATTGCTGCTGTCCAGTCCTCACTGTCCAGTCTTAAGAGAGTTAAAAAGCATTTAACGCAGCCTTATGAGGATTTCTTTTTCACCCCCAATCCACTTACCCCACAAATGAAACATTGTTATCCTCTTGCTACTATTCTATCAATCTTACTAATGTTCAGATAAGTTATATTCCTGTCCCACTAGATCAGACCTTCACAGATAGGACCTGTCATGCCTTGTTCATGGTGAAAAATCATCCCCATTTCATTATGATCTTAACCTTTTCAAGCCTAAGGTCAACTATTATCCTCATGATATGCATCACTTACTCTCTCCTTGTACACCCAAACAATGACAAAATTCAATAACCCTCTACCTTGAATAGTCCTTGGGCTTGGTATTGGGTGAACTAAAGTAAAAAGAAAAAAAATATCAGTGTTTCAGCTGCTGTATACTTGGGACTTC